GACTGCAATCTACGATTTAGTATGAGATAGTATAACATCCCTGTGTTTCTTCATAGCCTTAAAAACTATGATGCCCACTTAATCATCAACAAGGCTCACGAACTCAACAAGAATTCTAAAATAGAATGTATCGCTCAGAACAGCGAAAAGTTTATAGCCTTTGGTTTTAAACATCTTTGTTTCAAGGACAGTTTCAGTTTCTGATGTGAAGTTGAGTAAGTATGAGGATGATAAAAGGCGTGAGAATTGGAAGAACAATTTCAGATACAGCGTTAGAAACCCTATGTTAAAACTGATGAGGACTTGGATTTACTGATTGACAAAGGCATTTATCCTTATGACTACTTTGGTGTTTTTGAAAGATTAAAGGAAAGGCAACTACCACCTAAAGAAGCGTTTTACAGTAAATTGAGTGAAGAGCAAGTAAGTGATAAAGATTATGAAAGGGCGTTGAAAGTATGGAAGCACTTCGGGATTAGAACACTTGGGCAGTATCACGACCTGCGTTTAAGAACTGATGTTTTACTACTGACCGATGTTTTTGAAAACTTTAGAGACTTGTGTATGGAATACTCTGGCTTAGACACCGCTCATTATTACACACTACCAAATTTCGCTTGGGACGCAATGCTTCTAAAAACTGGTGTTGAAATTGAGCAATTGCATGACCAAGAAATGTTTGAGATGGTTGAAAAGGGAATGAGAGGTGGTATGTGTCAAGTCAGTCATAAATTAGCAGTGGCAAATAATAAGTGGGGGGCAGGAAGCATATGATGAGAACAAGACATCAAATTATATTAGTTACTTGGATGCTAATAACTTGTATGGCTCAGCAATGTCCCAGAAGTTACCATTGAAAAGTATCAAGTGGGCAAAGAAAACGCCCAGTGTTGAAAATGGGAGTGAAAACGATGAGTTTGGTTGTATTATGGAAGTTGATTTTGGAATACCCCGAAACATTGCACGACTTCCACTCCGACTATCCACCAGCACCTGAAATAATGAATGTAAATGTGAATATGCTTTCCGATTATCAAAAGCAAGTCTATAAAATATATTATGATGGAAAATCCACGAAGGACGAGAAAACAAGTAAGCTAATATTAAATCTAAAGGATAAAGAACAATATGTGGTTCATATCAAGACTTTACAGTATTATTTGAAAATGGGATTGCAAATGACCAAAGCCCATAGGATAATAAAATTTCAACAAAGGGAATGGTTGAAACCGTGGATTGACTTCAACACTGGTAAACGGAAAGAAGCCAAAAGCGATTGTGAGAAAGATCTGTTCAAATTAATGAATAACGCGGTGTATGGAAAAACCATGGAGGACAAAAGAAACCATATTGACTTTGAACTGGTGGATAATGAAGTTAGATATGAAAAGTGTGTGAATAACCCAACATTCAAAAACAGATTTATTATAAATGAAAATCTGGTAGGAGTTGAAAAAACTAAAGCGAAACTGAACTTGGATAAACCGATATTCCTAGGAATGAGCATTTTAGAGATAAGCAAATTACATATGCATCAGTTTTACTATGATGTCCTTAAGAACAAATACAATGAAAACATAAAACTGGTTTATACTGATACTGACAGTTATGTAATTCAGAACAATGACTGATGATGTCTATAAGGGTTTCAATGATATAAAGCAACACATGGATTTTAGCGACTATCCACCTGAACATCCATGCTTTGACAAAACTAAGAAAAAGGTCTTAGGAATGTTTAAGGGCGAAGTGAACGGAAAAATCATTACTAAATTCATTGGATTAAAACCTAAATCATATGCCTTCACAATTCACGGTGAGGATGATGAACATAAGAAATCAAAAGGTGTAGTGAAACACAAAGTGAAAAAGAACTGTCGTATCAGAACTACCACGAAGCATTATTTCAAAGAAAAAAGCACGAAATCACATATAATTTTATCAGGAGTAAGTCACATCAAATATATTCAATGTCTCAAGTTAAGCAAAGTCTGAGTAATTACGAAAACAAAAGGTTTTATATTGATGCTTTCACTTCACTGCCTGGGCATTATTCCATAAAATGATTATCTAAATAGTTCTAATAATATGAGATTATTAGAATTATTTTCAGGGACCGGCTCGGTTGGTCGGGTTGCTCGGGATTTGGGTTTTAGTGTCATTTCCCTTGAATTGAAAAATGCAAATACCAATACTGATATTTTGACTTGGGACGAGTTTGATGTTGTGTGGGCATCTCCTCCATGCACTGAATACAGCCGAGCGAAGACGACAGGCGTCTGAAAGATTGAGTTCGCTAAGAGCATTGTTTTACAAACCATTGAGATTATTGATTATTTTAGACCTAAATACTGGATAATAGAAAATCCTCAGACTGGATTATTAAAGGAACAACCGTTTATGAGTGGTTTAAACTACTATGATGTGGATTATTGTAAATACGGAATGAATTACAGGAAAAGGACACGGCTTTGGACTAACATAGCAACTTGGAAACCCAAACCATTGCGTAAAAGGGATTGTGGGAAAGTTAGGAATGCGCGACACCTTGAAACTGCTCAACGGTTGCCTTGTGGTAAAAAGGATAGTTGGGGTGAGGGATACATTAAGCATAACCAAGATGACCTATATAAAATTCCTTCTGATTTATGCAAATGTGAACTTGGCCTTGGCTGGGATGTACTGGTAGGAGATGAGGTCGTTCATGGGTTCGATGGCCTGAGTAAAACGCTGGATTGCGTGCCAGCTGCGCATGGATCTGGCACATCAGTTGTCCAGGATAGCGCAGGTCGGATCGTGTTGAGGACAGGCGGCCAAAAGGCTCTACAGACACGGACAGATTGTGTTCTGAAACTGTATCATCTTGGGTCAGTTTCTTGTGGATGGCCTCTTTCTCATGCTGCTGAAAAGCCCAACAATGCTCGTCCTGTGCTGGATGTCTCATGGGATGAGTACCAGCCTGACCAATTCCATGATGGATCCCAGTCTTAGTCTGTCCAACCATTGGCCGTTTTGGGCTTCCTTTTCCTTTGCCACTGTTTTAGGATGGATAACCTTTGTTTCCATCATAGGGATACTGGTATTTCGATTTTCCTTTCTTCTTTCCTTTGCGTTTTCCCCAATATGCCTGGTCGCAGGGATCCTGATTTTCGTTGGCCATATTGGCCTTCCCGCCGGAGCCACTTTTTCTGAAAGGTTTGAGGCCACCTCGTTGGTGACTCCCTTTTTTGCTTACTGATGTTCCTTTTCCTTTTCTCTTTTTGAAACTGAAATTTCGCCCAGACACCTTCCTTGCAATGAACGCATCTCTCTCCTCCAAAACCCAAAAAGTCTCTTCGTCATTCTTCGCTATGAATCCTTCAGTTCCATCTTCGTCTTCCACCCAGAAACCTTCTTCGCCTTCATACTCCCCTTGTTCTAGGATGTAGAAGGTGTTACTCCGACTTCCTCCTGGTGGTCGGATGGATGGATCTTGGATGGATGTTCTCGTTGTAATGAAGAGATCGTGGTACTGAGTCTTCATCATCTCGTAGTCGAGCGAGATGTTTCTCAAAGACATTGCGCTGATCAGTCTTTCTCCCTGCTGATCTGACAACTCACTCGCGCAATGAGATTGTCGCTGAAGGGAAATGCGTCCTTGTGTCTTGTCTGCGTGCCGTTGAGGTACTGCTTAAGTACTTCTGGATTGTCTATAGACAGCAGATCTGGAGGCGTGGCCATTCTTCTTGCATCAGCATCTTGTCCTGTGCCATCTCATCAAGAGAATTGCAAATTTTGATGTGAATATGAGGAACTTGGTGTTCTGCCTTCTGTGATGGAAGAAGCTGAGAAGTCTGTGTAAGCACACGTTCGTCGAGCCCTTCAGACCAGCTGACTTTTCCGTCGTACGATGGCGGCTGCCTGGCGGTCATCGATAAGTTGAGCGTCTCTTCAGTGAAGCCGTGAGATCGGCCTACACTTGAATAGGCTTCCATGAAGCCTTCTCCATCGGATGACATCTTGTTTGGATCCCTTTTCGAAAACCAATGGGTCCAGAAAACAAACACACCCCTTCCCCCCAAAAGATCTTTCCCCCCCCCCGCACTTTCCCCCCCTAAGATCCTTTCCCCCCTTGCCCCCCCTAAGGTCTCTCCCTCCCCTTCCCCCCCTTATAACATCTTTTCCTCTTTATCGCTTTGTAAGATTGTTTCTCGTCAAGATCTTTTCCACCCTTTCCCCTCTAAGATCTTCTCCACCCCTCCCCCCCCTCTGAAGATTTTCCCAATTTGTTTTAAACATATCTTTCCCCCTTTCTCCCTAACCCCTTATAAGTGTTTCATCCTTTGCCCTCCTAAGATCTTCCTTGTCCCCCGTAAGACCTTTTGCCGCCTTCTCCCCCTCAGATCTTTCCCTCCCTCCCCCGGATCGATTTCCCCTTTTTCCCCTCCCAAAGATCCGCCCTAAGATCCTGCCCTTTTCCCCCCGCCCCCTAAGATCTTTTCCCCCTTCCCCTCCCCCCCTCCTCTCTCCCTTAAAGATCTTTTGCCTGCTTTGTCCTCCTAAGATCTCTCCCCCCCTTTCCCCTCTCCCCACCTAAGATCTTTTCCCTTTCCCCGGCTTGTAAGATCGTTCCCTTTCCCCCTTTGCCCCCTAAGATCTTCCCCCCCCTCTCAACACTTTCCCCCCTAAGCTCTTTTCCTCCCCCCCCTCCGATCTTCTCCCCACTCCCACCAGTAGAATGGTGTGCCAACTTCCCTTGAATCCAGCACCCGTGCCGCATTTATGTAGAAAACAAAGCGTCTACCCCTGTGTCGCGTCTTCAAAGCTATCTCTTTGGTGCGTGCCAACTCAGAAGGCTTCGCACTCGCACCGCAACAGCTTGACAGCCAGGCAGCAAAAACACGTCAATCAGAACGACCCTGTAGCCTGATGGATCCCAGTAAGCCCCTGCCCCGCCCCATCCCAGTTCCCTTTCCCTCTCAAGTCTGGTTTGCAGAAAACCTGGAAAATGGCCGCGCAAGGCCATGGAGAACCTGGAGCTGGCGCAGACGGGCCTCTGCGGGCTCTTCCTACTGGCGCTGGGCGCGGGGCAGCTGCAAATCACAGCCCTGCGCCTCCGCAGCTTTTGATGGGTGAAACACCAAGCGCTTTGGGCAGTGCTTCGGGTTTGGCGCCTGCTATCTTGAAATCGCGGCCTTTCGACATTGCCTTTTCATTCCTTTGCATCCTTGGACATGTAGCAACACACTTGTTGCGAGGCTGGTTCCGCCCCTGTTGCAGCACTGTTGAAGTGAGCCCCGGCCTGGTGTGAGACAGCCAAGGTTTGTGCCTTGAGAATATAATTTCCCAGGGGAGCTTGAGGTGGTTTTGTGAGGGCGAAACGTGCCGCGTGCTGAGGGGTATCACTTGAGAGCTTTTTCTGAACGGGAGAGTATCAAAGCAGACCAAAGGAATTGTATTGTACTTGAATCATATCTGCCCGGTTTGTCTTCCTGCTGTATTTGTCCTCCGCTCCCTGTCAGGTGCCTCCCCGCAGAGTTGGTGGCGGCTGCTGGGGTGGGGGGCATTGAGCTTCTGAAGCAGGAGGGGATGCTGACGGGTCGAGTGACGCTGCGAATCCAATTCCAGCGAGTTGGGCCCACGCACTTTCAAGGCTCGTCAGCGTCTAGCAAATGCATGCCTCACAGCTTCTCGTTCCGCATTGTCCAAGGGCTGATCTTTTCTTAGGAGAGCCGCTGCAGACTCAACAGGCTTGACGTGAAAACCAACAAGCTGGTCCAGGCTTTGGGAAACGAAATTACATATGGGTGGAACAGGTTCGATTGGAAGCAACTTCTTTTCAGTTTCACGTCGTCTTCTGGCATGGTTTAAATCACTTGGCTGTTCGAGCGTGAGTTCAAAATAAACGAAGAACACGGTAAGAGGAAACAGTTTAGCTTACGAGGGCTGACTGATGCGATTGCCGCGCGCGTTACAGTGGCTTGATCCGCGGCCTTTTGTCAAGCGGATGGAGCGCATGGAGCGCATGGAGTGGATGGAGCAGATGGTGCGGATGGTGCGGATGGAGCGGAGCGGCTAATCTTTTCTTAGGAGAGCCGTTGCAGAGTCAACTGGCTCCTTCCCACCTGCCTGACCCTCTAGTCTTTTGAGCCGTTGCAGAGTCACCAGGCTTGACGTGAAACACAACAAGCTGGCCCAGGTTTTTGGATTCCTCGGGCTCCAGGCCGCCGGCAAACAAAAGGAATCGAGGGCATGCTCAAGGCTGTAAGCAGCGGTTGTAGGGTTAGTAGAACCTGCGACAAGCTTGTCGCAAACAGCGTGTCACACGGTCACTGGTGTAACTCAACATGGTTTACGTTCAACATGCTCGGTTGAAGCAGCTGCCGTTTACTTTTACGCGTTCTGGTCTGATTGCGCAATTTAGGCATTTCCTGCGTGGTAAAAGGAGGCCTTTGGCTGGCAGCGCTGACTGATACGATTGCTGCGCTCGCTGCAGCGGCTTGATCCACAGCCTGGGCCAGCCTACGTTGCCCCGTGCCTCATTTTGTATTGCGGCCGGTTGGCTTGTCATCGCAGTTTCGCCGCAACAGCCATTTGTCAAGTGAGGACTTTGTGGCCCGCAGGCTTTTTACGCGGAGGGATTTTATGACATTTCCATCCAGCAAGTGTTTCTAGCTTCGTGACGGTCTCTTCGCTGTAGATGAAGTTCACCCGCTTTGTGGCCACATTCCCAGCAGTCTTGGTGAAAATGCTCATGAAGTTGGTCCCACGCATGGACCGCCCGCCATCAGTGAAGATATAGACATCGGCGCAGCGCCGGGGCCTCATCTGCATCTCTATCGTCTTCTCGAGGTGTTCACTCCTCAGAGTCGGCGACCGCCTTGCTTTCATTGTCATACCAGAACAGCACTCCAGAGCGTGGAGGGCAAGGGCGAGCTGCTGGCAGCTGGTATGACACTGACCCATCGACAGTTGATAAGAGAGATGACACCAGTGTCTTCGACTTGTCGGCGGCATCGCGCACCTGCAACGCATCATCGTCCTTCGTCTCTTTGACAGTGCTGCTCATCAACCGACGCCAAAAGACGGTCAGTGGCCATGGGCACGGCGTCCTGGTTCTCGGAGCTGGACACCTTCGACCATAGTGGCGCAACGCTGATCCCTTCAGCGCACTGTCCCACTTGACCGTGTAGGCTACGTCAGCAGCGAACTTCGCAGCAAGCTGCCCGGCCGCACATGGACTGTAGTCGCCCCCTCCAACCTCTGGGTCAGAGTTACCCACCAAAGTGCTCCCGGTAGGAGGCGCGCCTGGCAATATTCCCGAATGATGACAAATGAAAACTGGGCAGGGGCCGTTTGAGACGTTGTGACGTTTGTCGGCGGACTTGCAACAATCGACAGCGACAGGAAACATGCAATTTGACAAGAAGAGGCAGGACAGTGGCGGGCAATCGCTGATCCACGTGCGTCTCAACACCGAGCTGAAAATATGTTTGCCAGGCCGCCCCTTCGGATTCGACTTGCCTCCGCCCAGGGCTGAGCTGTTCATTTCTGTAACTTTGCAGACCCCGTTCAGAACATAATCGCACAAGGACGTGAAAAGCCACTGCGGGCGATTTTGATAAGGTCCTCTAGCTTGGCGACGGAATCTACCGGCGTCCTCTTCCCAAAGAGCTCGCCGGCTGGGAAGGCCATCTCCTGCTGGAGAAGTTGACATGGACCTTTGTATTAGATACTAAAGCAAACGCTGGCTGACGTGGCGGTGGCTGACAATGACTGGATGACAATTACTCTAAAGGTCAATGTCAATGATATGAATCTTGACACAACCAGCAACAATGACAAGGAAAACGCTTGACCTGCAAAAAGCGGTGTCCTTCAGCGCATTGCTGGCGAAGAATTTGTTGAATATGGACGCTGCGCTGGTGAGGTAGTTCATGGTAATCTTCTCTCCGGCAGCGACAGCGAGCTTGCTGAAATCACGGGAAAGTTGCTTTACCCCGATCTTCTTGCCCTTGTTACGCCGCTCCAGCATGGCGCAGCACGTCCCGACTTGGAAGGGCCGCTGAACCTTGGTTCTACTTAGCCGGCTGGGGATTAGATATCTCTTATAAGTCATTATAAGCATTAGCAGCAGGTTTATAAGGGTTAGAAAATCTGGTTTAGGAGGTGGTTTAGGCAAGGGTTTAGCTAAAGTTTAGCTAAACTAGCTAAACCTGTTAAGGTTTTTTCTTTCAAACTACAGCGCCTGTGTGCAACTTGTGCAACAATGCGTTTTCCGCAAGCCAGACATCAAGCGAAGCCGCAGCGGGCAGTCCGCGCGGCCCCAAAGACGCAGCTCATCTTTTTTATCCTTTCTTTTTAGCGGTTCCACAGCTCGGATCAGAGCGCCCATCTGTTTTGACATTGTTTGTTAGGTTCATATTTTTCAGGTTTTTCACAATCTGAATTTTCAGATTTGATATCACATTCGGTTTTCGAGATTTTTTCAGAAGCTGATTTTTGCACATTCAGGTTTTTCAGACTTTTCAGGTTCTAACAACATCTGAATCTGAATATTTAAGTACAGAAAGTGATGAAGATTCAGATTTTCAGAATCTGAAAGAACTGAAAAATCTGAATCTGAAAAAAATCTGAAAAATTCAGATGCTGAAAAAATTGGAAATTCTGAATCTGAATATTTAATAAAGAAAGTGATGAAGATTCTGATTTTCAGAATCTGACAAAAATCTGAAAAATCTGAACCTGAAAAAAATCTGAAAAATTCAGATTCTGAAAAAATCTGAAAAATCTGAAAAAATCTGAATCTGAATATTTAAGTGAAGAAAGTGATGAAGATTCAGATTTTCAGAATCTGAAAAATCTGAAAATCTGAAAAAAATCTGAACAATTCAGATTCTGAAAAATCTGAATCTGAATATTTACGTAAAGAAAGTGATGAAGACTCAGATTTTCAGAATCTTAAAAAATCTGAAAAATTCAGATTCTGAAAAAATCTGAAAAATTCTGAAAAATCTGAATCTGAATATTTACATCAAGAAAAGTGATGAAGATTCAGATTTTCAGAATCTGAAAAATCTGAAAAATCTGAATCTGAAAAAATCTGCAACATTCAGATTCTGAAAAGTCTGAAAAATCCGAATCTGATATCAAATCTGAGCACTTGCGTCCGCAAAGCGGCTCATGCATCATACTCGGCTGCACTCACGCCCGCGGCGGCATGCGCAGGGGCAAAAAAAATGAAAGGTAAGTGATTCGGCTTCCCTTTTGCATGCTGCATGACTGTGCTCGAAAAAAGCTAAGTCTGCTAAGGGTATAAGCCCCGAAAACAGATCCCAAAAGCTAACCCCGCCAAACCTTATAAGGGTTGCAACCATGTTTGCTAAGTGTTTGGCTTGGGGTTTACAACGGGGGTTATAAAGCGTGTCATATCTCCTATAATCCTTAGATAGGTTCTGGTAAACCTTAGAAACGACTTATACACCTTATATAGGTTTAACCAACTTATCTCGTTTGCCAAGGAGTTTGGCAGCCTTATAACCCAACTTAGCCGAGATACTAAACGCTTATAACCTGGTTAACATTAGCCAGCCGGCTAAGTACTGGCAGTCTAACATGGCGGCCGAGGCCTACAAACGGCGAGGGCAATGACAGATATCACTGAGGCGCCCTCAAGTCTGGGCTGCGGCGTCCATCTTGGACTCAGAGGGGCTGACCTGGTAGGTGATGATGCTGCTGAGTCATGCCTTGACCCAGCCCTGGCAGGCGCGGGCATCGCCGCAGTTAAGAGATTGTTGTCCGATGAAAATTGCTTCGACGATGACGCATAATAGTCAGCCAGTCCAGTTTAAACACTTGGCTCTGACATTGCGGTAAGTGTCCGCGTGATGAAGCTTCTCGTGACTGATCCTACTTGAACAGACCCTACCAAATGTCTGATGATGCATGGGTTGCTCAAGCTGCTGCTCAAGACGACAGTGACCTTGAGGGGCGCAGGCTCCTTGACCACGCAGAAACTTCAACCCAAAATCGGCACTGGTTGACTGCCCTAGTGCCAATTCACCCAGGCTCCAGCTGCCCGAGCTCTGTCGCAGCCGGTCTTGATGACCTGCAAGCCTACTGGAACAGCAGACCCTTCTGCCAGACTGCTCTGGAATTCATCAACCCTTACTAGACTTAGACTCCCACAAACTGAAAACGAACTGCCAATGTGCAGCAAGCAAACTGGCGGTGGCGACATGATGAAATCCCATGCCTCTTGGACGGCAGGCCTGCCAGCGCATGTTGGGCGACTGCCCAAGCCTCTTTGGCTAGCCACCCAGCCTGCAGCGGATTTGCCTCAGGGCTCGTTTTGGGCGCCATGACAATGCTGGTGCAACAATGAATGAGCCACACGCACACTGGCGTCACACACCACTACGATGGCCATGTGTTGAAGCCAGGTGTGACAGTGACAACAAATAATAGCAGGCAAGCGTCTCTTTACTGGCGCGAAATGCAATCTTCGATGATCTAACCCTAATTCGACGGCCGGTGGTGAATTGCAAACCACAGTAACCGCTCAGCAGCAACTTCTCACACCA